CACCAGTCTAGCTCTTCTCAATACAGGGTTGTTCCCTAGAATGGGTAGCTCTTCATCTTGGTTGTGTTTTGTTTTGGTTTTTAATTGAAAAAAGAAAAAAAAAAAATGAAGACAAGGCACATTTTTTCTTTTACCTGAAAAAAGCATTCCAGAGCACAGCGTATCTCAGCAGCAAGAGCATTTTCTAGTCAGTCAACAAGCCTTTAGCCCACTTAACTTCATTTTTCTTTTTAAGGTTGTGTGTCTTGGTAATCTTTGTTCAGCTTGACCCATATTTAATTCTTCTTTAGTATTTCTGTAGGAAGTAAATGCCTTTTTAAACCCTTTGTTGTGCATTTGTTATGGAGGCAATACAAATAAAGATGTGAAGACGTGAATTTATGGTTCCAGCAGAATGCCTTGCAAATAAATGCACAGTTGTGTGTAATAAGAAACAAACCCAAACAGTTCTTTGCAGTAAGAGCTGGAAGCACGTGCGTTTGTGGAATTCATTGTAAATCATCAGGCACAAGTTTTGGGGATAAAACCTCATTTCTATAAACATTTGCACTGTAAAAGCACCTCTTTCTTACACTAAACTAGGGTAAATACAGTTAATAATTTCCTCTTTGCACAGAACTACTGTGACTGAACAGTTATAAACATCCAAACTTGAATAACTTATTGTAGCATTTAAGCAATATTAAAGTACTGAGTGGAGTACTGAAACATTTTGCTTTCCTAAGGTATTCCTAAGATTTTGATTGCTTTAGGCACAGGCAGTTGTTAATCCCAAGGCACTAAGAGGGTAACCAAGCTCTTATTAACTGCTAAATTTTGGACAATATAGTAACAAAGAAAAGGGAGTGCTACAGAAATGGAGATCCTTCCCTCCTTCAAGAAGCTAGTGAAGGAAGATCTTTTAAAAAAAAAACCCAGCTTAGTTCAACGTAGTATATGTAGCTGTTGAGCAAGAAAAAAAAAATACATAGGAGATTGGCACAGACCTTCTACCCTCTATGTTAAATTAAAGGTACCTTACTGTAAAATATAGAAGAAAATTAAGTTTTTGTAGTTGTTTATTGTGAAAGGGTTATGAATGGAGAGGACTGAAAGTCTGGTCTCAATCTGTGGATCACCATTTCGGTTTCTGGTATGTGCTCACATGTTTAGTACTTTCCCTGCCCCAATGCCACCATCACACCAGCAGAAAGCTCTATTTGTGCACACACATAGCAGGAGGAAGAAATGCATCTCCCCCTTGGGTCACACCCAAGATCACTGCGAGTATGTCAGTGTGAAGTTCGAGCTCTGTTACCTGTATGGTCCTCACAGGAGCACCCCAAGCAGTGGTGTGTGTCCCTGTACTCGAGAGGGTAGTCGTGTCAGTCTCACATCAATGGAGATCCTCCTTTCTTCGGCAGAATCCCCCATTCAGCTAGGGATCGACTGGTTTTGGCTGCCAGACTAGGAACTAAAGCTTAATTCCTGAAGAGTGAGTTAGCCTTAAAAATAAATTGTGAAACTGAACACATACCTCCAAACCTGCTGTACAGGAGAACACTGAAGAACTAGTGAAGCCGCCAGAAGATAAGGAACCAACCAATAAGGTTTCTGACAAATTCAAAGGTCATGTCTTCCACTAGGACACTGAAAGAATTCAGGTGAATAATCATCTCTGTAAGAATGCTCATAGTCAGAGAGCTGCCCTTGAAGTAACTCACTTAAATGGGATTTAAAGGTGAATTAATTTTTACTATAAAGCATCTCCCTGCTTGGCTTAAAGTAAAAAAAAAAAGCATCTCCCAAGCTTTTGATTACAAAGCAGCTTATCACCAGCCACAAAACAGGTATTGCTGTGGCCCTTAAAAGATTTAAAGCTTGCCCTGTGCCAAAGCTCTATTTAACACTACACTATTTGCCATTTGTAAGTAAGTTAATAAAATCTTATATATGTGAATATGTTCTCATCTTGGAAGTTTTCCACAGCTCCTAACTTGGCTGAAGTTGCCCTACTTCTGCTTGAATTAATTAGAAAGATGTGCTCATTGCCTTAGTAACCTGTAGAACCATGGGACGCCAGTAACGTTGGGGATACCACTAACGGTAAGTGTAAGCATTTATCTTCAAATCTGGTAATTTTAAGGTAAAATACCATCTTTCTTGAAATAATGGGCGTCTAGTACAAAGGACTAAAGCAAAAAACTAAACTTGAACTAATTTGAATGAAACTATAAATTGTGAGCATGCATACCTTGGATCTTCAGTGTAATTTTGATTTCAGCAAGCTTGGAAAAAAAACCTCCAAAAGCATTAAGGAGCAGGATGAAAACCAAACCAAACTGCAATTACCATAACTACATTTGCAGAGAGAAAGCAGCTTCCTGCTTAAAAGCATTCTAAAGGTGACATGCATGGAGAGAGAGACCTGTCAGACTGAGTTCTTAGTGCAAGTGCGACAGATGTTTCAGAAGGCATGTTTATGCATGTTGGCAGAAGATCGTTTTCCATCTAGTTCAAGCAGAATTTCAAGCGGTCTTAAAGTTTGGTTGAGAAGCACCATTATGCACACAATTGTTTCAAAGCAGTTCTTCCAGCCCAGAATGCAGTCACCAGTCCAGGGTACTTAATTTTCACAAATCAGCAAGCTTTGAATGTGGGACTACATCATTAATTTGGAGGGCTGGCTTTGGTGACTATTGGTGTTCTTTTGACACCATTAAATAATGGCAATAGACTCGTAATTCAGTGCAAATTACACACAATGCATCAAGGCTTGGGTGTGTGTGGCTCTGCTCATGGGTCATGGATTTTGGGGCCTGCAGTGACTAAGCGTGCAGTCAATTCAAGGTTCAGGCTTTATCTTCATACAAGTAATACCCCTCAGCAGGGGCACCTGTAGAGCAAAACAGCTGGTGCTGAGAACCTGACATCTCTGCACAATCTTTGAAGTCTTTATTTCAGCGTAGAAATAAGCCACTTTTCTATTTCAGCCCAGATCCTGGTCCGGTCCAGCTGAACACCCATTAAACAGGTCAAATGCAGTTAGAGGCATTCCGAGAGCGTATTTCATGCTTGAGTTTCACTGTGAGCAAATCCCATTCGAGCACTGAGAACGCTGCACCAACAAGCCACATCATGGTGAACGGTCTGCTAGCATGGAAAGCACAGAAAAGCTCTTAGTTAAATATTTAAGGTAACAACTAAAAGTGGGGTTTTTTTGGGGGTTGGTTGTTTTTTTTTTTTTTTTTAGTTTTTTTTTAATACAGTTAGTGCAGTGTTCCTGCTTTGAAAGCATTAATTCACAGAACACTAAGATCAGTCGACACATGCAATAATCTTGAAACAATTATTCTAGGTCCTGTTCCCCTCCCTTCTCCAGGTGCAGGAGTCTTTTTGAAGCCATATCCAAGAAAACAATCACTAAGAGCATTACGGTTGCGTAGCAACCTCAATGAGATAAATAAGTTTAAAGCAGTCCTTTGCTGTGTATTTCCTTCCCAACAGCAGCCAGTTTCCTAACACTGTAACTAATAAAACTCTTGAAGACAAACGTATGCATTGTTTTAAAACTAAATAAGAGGTTTCTTTATTCAAATTCTGTTATTTCTGGGCCCTATCACCAGATACCGCACCACGTTATCTTCAAGTACCCAGTATTCCAGCATTGTAAGTGGTCTGCACACAGAACACCAAGCCCCACATTGTTTCTCCCCCTTGCTTAGATTATCAGTTGAAAGCACAATAGAAATGAAGGTAGAAATGGACCAACACTAGTAAAGCTGTAATTTCCAAAAGCATTAGTTTTTTTACCTGGTCAGCTACAGTGAAAAAGCCTTTTCTACAGAAAAAAACCTAAACATGGACATATACAACATACAAGTTATATATTCCCAGTTTTGTTTATTTTCATGGAATGCTAATTTAGTTACAATATGGCAGTTCATAACTACTGAAATGTGACATTAATTCATCTCCAATGCTGCAGAACAGTCTTGATTTAATATATATTGTTTTAAAACAATCTTATTTTACATAGTTGAGGTCTCTGGTGGTTTTTAAGCTCTGATGCTTAAGCACACAGCAAGCTACAAACCTTAGGCTTTATATTTATACATATATTCTATGTATTCAGACAACTGCTGTAAGTTATCTATAATTTAATATTTATAAAAAGTGCATGTACTGGTACATATGCACATCTAGAAACACACTTTTACTACTGCCTCCCTTTTATAAAAAGCTGTGTAACATACAGCCGTATTATTCTCACTCATTGCTATTAAAGTCCTTTACTATCTTTGTTACACAATTTCAACTATTCAATTCCCTCAAACTGAACGTAGATATTTCTATGTGTATTTTCTCCTAAAGAAAAAAAGTCCTCCCTATTCCTTTAAGAAGCTTTAAATCATGCATCAGTTTAGTAAACAGTCACCTTAGCATGGATTTTAGAATCCTCGACAGTGTAAAATCTACTTCTGGAAAATGTCTGTATATTTAATTTCTTCTTTTAGTTACAAAAAATATATAGGATTGAAACATACTGAATACATGCATCTCTCAAAGTGGCTATATTCTAGCCTTATAGATAAATTAAAAAAGTACACCCCTGCTAATAGGATGCAAACATGGCCTCAAATAGGCCATTACCTGTATTTAATATAGCTCATTGCATTAAAAAGTTCAAGTCAGCTGTTCTCTCAAGATGGTGTCAAAAGACTGAAGAGCATAATATATTTATACTCAGTATATGAAGGTGGGTGCACATACTTTGAGCCCTTTAATTATTCAATACTTTCAAGGCTCCTAGGCTTTGCCTCTGGTGATATAAGTCCTGAAATGATCTGAATAAAAGTTTAAGTTCAAAATCGTTTAATACAGCATAAAAGCAAGTTGTGTTTAAAAGAAACATGTACACTGAACAACCTGAAGTACTCAAACAACTGTACAAAACTATTATAGATACAGAAAGAAATAATGGTGGACTTAACTTCAAACAGAAGTAACGCTTGTTAACATATGTAAAAACTTGCTTTGCTTTATTCTTCTACCAAGTAAGAATTTGCAGCTGTTCAGAACAAGTAAAATTCAAACCACCTCACAATGTTTACATTTAAAGTTCTTTTATACAGTGCAAACGTTTAAGACAGAGTAACTCCCCAGTGAAACAGGTGGCACTACTCAGTGCCAGTCTTTTGAAGATTCTTCTTTCAATAAGTCTATTTACAATTAAGCTAAAGGTTCACTATATATGCTTTGAAGTTTGCTGAATATCAGCAGAAAAACACGTGAACTAGCAGCAGTTGTATTATGAATATATGATGGTTACTTTAATGAATGCATAAAGTTCTCAAGACTGTATTCAGTGTCATACTGTTCTTGATCCCATAGTTCTCCAAGGTTTTCGAGTACTGATTTCATAGATGCTTTCCCAGAAGAGGTAGAGGTATCTGCTTTTTCAGTTTTTCCATCCTTCACAAAAAAAAATCAATTAGTGTACAGACTAATGTTTTCAGAATATACTAGATTCTTTGAGTTTGAGGATTCTTTTGCAGAAATATCACTTCCTCCTGTTTTTCAGAGAGCTGTCTACTATTCATCATTCAACTTCAGGTGTTTGTGTGATTACATTTTACATTTCAAAGCAAGGCTTTTCCCTAAGCTTACTGTATTTTTGGTAGGTATTTGTAAAAATGGCTCTTTACCTTGTCAAGAGTGAACAGATCAAGAAGCTGTTCTGTTCCCATGCTCTGTAGGCTTGTGTTTTCTTGGCTAATCACTGTGTTTGCAATGCTCATTTTGAACTTTTGGAGACCCATTATCTTCTCCTCCAGAGTTCCCCTGGTTATCAGGCGATATACATTAACAACACGTTTCTAAAGGAAAAAAAAAGCAGACACTTAGCTAAAAAATATCATCTTAAGTATCCAAGAAAGCATTAGCTTTTAGTATTCATCACAGACAGTCTCAAAGCAGTTTGGCTTGGAGTTACCCTTCAGTACTGTACTCAGTAAGTCTGACTGAGGAGACTGAAAAGAATGAGACTATGCCAGCATATAGCAGAGGCACCTGCGACTGCATCTGTGCTCAGGAAGTGAAGAATTCACTGCTCTTTACAGCTGTAGAGGGCAAGAACAG